CTCAACCTCTCTGTTAGCCAAGTGATTGGGCTTATACCGAGTGCAGACCAAATTTTGTGACACCTCTGGTGTACAAGCTAACTCCCAAGGGAGGCAAGTCGGCGGTCCTGTTTGTCGCGTGCTGGCCTGCCCACGCAGCAACGACTTATAGGAGTGGTGGTGAAGGCGGTCACCAAATCGCAGGAAAACTACTGGAAGGCGGGACCGAGTCACGCCACCGATGCAACCTGTGCACTTAAACAACTTTATATGACTTGCAGGTAGCTGGACTTCATGCACCTGGCTCTACCGTTCTGTCCGCCTGCTGCTGGCCATGCGGCCTGCTGTCCACTGGTCTTCCCTGCTTCCTCCTGGTCTTCGCCTTCTGCCTGCACAAAACAACCTCCCTGACAAACCCATATGGCATTCCTCGGCAGCGGCTTTCGGTGGCTGGCCCACCCACTGATGCATTGGACCTGGCCCGAGCGTGGTCACTACGACTCCCGTTTCTTGGTTACCCATTCTTCCAGCTTGCCGCTCCTGCGTGCCCTCGTCCAAGTGGCTTTCGGCTATTAGGCTGCTGCACACACCTTGCAGCCGTGCTTCGGACATTGCCGGCTGCTAACTTTTGAACGGTGAACTTCAAGCGAGCTGGTTACCATTTGTTGTGCAATCTAGCCCTGCCCCTTCTCGGCGGTAAGATTTCCATGGTGTGGTAGAACTTTTGTGGAACCATGGTGGACAATAGACCGGTATCGACGGAACCTGACCTCTGCGTGCTGTGTGGCACCCTCCTGGCTGTCATGGAGCCTCCTGGACATTGTCTCGTTGCCTGCTAACCAGCCCTCTTGGGGCTGAGCTGACCTCGCCACATGGCCTCGGACAGCCTCTTTCACTGGCTGCGCCTTGGTATTTAGGAGGGAAAAATGGGGGAATCGAGCGCCTCCCCTTTGGCGCCTGAACCTAAACTAGCGCAAGCACTAGACCAATGCATTTTGAGTGCTGAGAGCATCGCCGTGGTTTCGCCACCAGGCCTTTTCGTCTGGTACAAGCTATGCGTCGATTTTCCCTGCACGGAGACATGTTTTCGAACATGCCTGGACAATGCCTCCCCCTCGAGTCACACTAGCAAACGCCACGGTGCTTAACCAATCCTTATTGGCCGCCCGTGACAGCCCCCTTTTCCGTTAGCTTGCTCCTGCCCGGAAGCTGGCATGCTGTGGGAGATGCTCACAGGCCTACACGAGCAGTATACGTGCTGCTCTAGCAGGCGAATTCTCGCCCGTATGCTTTGCTGCTGCCCTTTGCTTGGCAGCCCGTCTCGAAGGGCACGGATAGCCCTGGTGCTTGCTGGTGTACGCACACTCGATCGCTCTTGCGCAGTTTCCCTGTCAACCCACAAGTCTGTGATTGCTGATGTGTGCTGTATCATGGGTAATTAAACCCATGTTCGCTGACGACCTGCCTCAAGTGCCTTCTTTGTGGGGTATTGGAGAATCGACGAACACGTGGCTGTAGCATCTACATGTGCGACGGCAGTGCAGAACGTTGCATCTCTTTCTGGTCACTTCGTAAAAAACAGCACGGGTTCAGGATAAAATAAAAAGAACAGAGCGCTTAGCTAAGAACATGCGCATTTATTTCGTGCAAGCACATCTTAATTGGTCGATGAAACTGCCAAAGTTCCATCACGTAGATAATTTACTTCTTTGTCAGTTGGTGTGATGGACGATGCGCCTACACATGATAGCCCAATGAAATAGATCTTGAATGCTTCATTGATCTCCCGGGCATATAAGATGTGCGTCTGTTCCAAAATCAGAGTGCACCCATACTGGGCACAAAGAATCGCTAAATTGCTTCTAGTTTTGTCCTTGAGAATATTTTTGTGCTTTTGTGCTCTTGGAGCCAGTCGTTCATGCAGTGACTCATTTGACCAATGTAGCGGCCATCACAAGACTTGCATTCACCACATCGACTGCACCACAAGACGTTGTTATCTCATAGACGACTTCAGTCTTACATGAAACATATCTAGTACCATATTGTTTCCAGCAACTGAAAGCATTTGGGCGAGGGGCACTTACTTTTTTTCAGACTGATTTCAGTTGAACTGGCACCAACGCAATAACATGCATGACTCGAGAACCATCAGAATTGTGATTGAACACTACCCTTGTCTCGTCTATCTTTAAACATTGTGTACAAAACAGCACGACGGACTTGATTTATATGCGGGAGTTTAACGTCCCAAAACCACCATATGATTATGAGAGACGTCGTAGTGAAGGGCTCCAGAAATTTCGACCACCTGGGGTTTTTTAACTGTGCACCCAAATCTGAGCACACGGGCCTACAACATTTCCGCCTCCATCGGAAATGCAGCTGCCACAGCTGGGATTCGAACCCGCGACCTGCGGATCAGCAGCCAAGTGCCTTAGCCACTAGACCACCGCAGGCGGGGCAGCACGGCGGACCTTACACGAATTTTAAGGGCATTATACATAGCTTGATACATATTTGTGGGATGCCATGTCAACGTAAGGACGGATCCAAACACAAAAACGTAACGAGTGCTTATTCAAGTGTAGCAGCAGCAGCATCGAGTCAGCATTCTGACGCTACACTTGTCAGAGGTAGCGGAGCAAAATGATGCGCTTCAAGCTAGACAGCCTGGTTTAATAGACATTGCTTGTACCGTTATCTGCAGCACATGGTTCAATGTAAGACTGAATCCGTATACGACATACAGACGTCTTGTGGTGGCCACTACATTGGTCAACAAAACTGGAAGCAATCTAGCAGTTCACTGCACCCAATGTGGACGCATTCCGAGTTTTGAACGAACGCACATCTTACATAGATATTGAGATTTCCGTACCTGCAAGATCCATTGCATTGGGCCATCACGCGTAAGTGCACTATCCATCGTACTAACCAAAAAAAAAGAGATCATTTATCTATGTGATTTAACTTTGCAGTTTCATCTATACTAGTTGAGATGCGTGCGCAGTGCCTCCTTTTCTTCATTTGCCTTCTTTTCTAAGGCGTATATATGTGTTATCACGAAACAAAAGCTCATGTTGTTATCTCAGTGCTTTGTCCCGTTTATTTTGTTCTCTTGTATACCCTCACTGTTTTTCACGATGAATCTACGCCAAAAAACTCAAGTTTTTCCCCTTTAAAGTACCTTCCCAGTCACTTCGTAAGGCAAGCTACTTTAGTAAACTTATCTCCACACCCTGCATCATTCCCATGGTTATAGTGCTCGTTTCCACTCTAGGTTATTGTCTATATCACTTACCCAGAGAGAAAACTGGCAGTGCCAGCCATTGTACGCAAGGCATTGCTGGGATATGTGGGATTCAGTCTTTAGTGAAATTTGCATCGTTCGCTAACAGCCCAGACACCTCGAAGATGCGTCTTACTCCAGTGCGTCCCTTGCATCAAAATGGTCGACTTCGTAATGAAGAAGCTGTGGTAAGCTATTTCTTATTGTGCAATTATATGGATACTCTGAGTAAAATTTTTTTTCATTGCCATTGTGTTCAGGATATGTATATGTATATATATGCAGATAAAAACCACAGAAAAATATTACTCGGAAGAAAATTTAAGGATATTCTCCTCGAAGTGCACCATGATGGGATGCAAAGCAGGAGCAGCGTGCACGCCGTTGACGCGGCTAAAACGAGCAGTCGACGCTGCTGTTGGAAGAATGATTTTAAGTGAAACTCTGTGTAGCCTTTACTTGAATAAACGTTTCTTCGAAACTCGAAGACACGGGAGGTGGGTTGGGTTTCATCTAAGTTTCATCGCAAATAAACGAGCTGAAAATGTGTTTCCACTCGACGTGCGGTCGAGCACTGTCGGCACTGGAGAGGGTGAAGCGAGAGAGAATGTGTTGCGATCGGGCGGAGGAGCAACATCACATAGGTGCATTTAGAGGAGCCGGCAGCTGCCGTGGGTGAGAGAGAGAGAGAGTGACGTAAACGCAGAGCTGTGACTTGACCTACTTGGCATCGGTCCAACAAGTGCGGTGGGGGGAACGCGATGCGGCGCATTGGCACAGAGACACAGACCGACAGCGTTACACAGGCTAGTGAAACAGCATCTAAATCTTTTGAAGTGCACTACCGAAATTTGAAGCTGTGACTCTGCAGACCTCGTGCCACTCGTCATTTGGGATGACCATCATATACTGCTGATGGTATGCATTTCTTGACGCATTTTCGTATATAGTATACCAGCCACGAGATGATGTGCTGAGCATGCTTTTTAACTCAACACTCCTAGATTTTGTTTCAATTGTACTAAAGAGTGGTAAATTTTTATACCTTTCCCGATGTGGAGCACCAGTTTGAATACATCGTGAGGAATCTTCGCCCTTAATTCATAATGGTTAAGGGGCCTTGTAGCCTACGCAGTGCTGAAAGGAACTTCTGAAATGAAGAGCTACCCTCAGTAAATCTACCCGACTCGGTGGTACATACCAACGATGAAGTGGCATCCACATGGACTTGTCGTTTTAATATTTGCGCAACATACAGCGCCAAGCAACTGGATACAGACCCTTCGTTTTAATATTTGTGCAACATACAGCGCCAAGCAATGGGATACAAACGGGTCTTCCTTATTGCAGTCAAACCCATAACAATACCAGGCATACTTTAAAGATGGAGATTCGACAGAGTTCTCGGAAATACTGACGCCAACCAAGGTACTCATTAAAAGTAAACACTTAGAAATGAAGCAACCCGACGTTTCAGGTCCCACTTGAGCCCTTCTTCAAAGCCGGCACCAGCATAGCCTGCTCTGGTCAAGGGGTTGTAATGACATACCAAAGTCCAATGAAATAGACGCTCGGCAGCGCACCAGCTCCAGAATTATTCACGTCACTGACTGGGACGTGCTTGTGTCGAAATTCTACAACAAAGCCCCTTATGGAGTAAATGAATTTTTCAGCAAGTCCCTCGGTTGGCAGTCCGTTTCGCACCACGCCGCACTCACAGGCACCTTACTTGGAGACCTTGATGTCTCTGTGAAGCAGGCCCCTGAGATGCATGTGCTCCAGCGCGAGGACCAGCTGCGCCATGACGATACGGCACTCCTCGGTAGGCAGGTACACCGCTTTGTCCACTACTCGCATTAGATCTGCCCCGCATATGTATTCCATTACGGTGATGTAGGCTTCCTGAAAGAGCAATCATGCACGCTTGTGTCGACGACCCTTCAACTGGAAAAACGATGTCATCATCACCAAGAAAGATTAGTTCCTTGATCATGCATCTTGAGTCACGTCCCGCATGGTATGTTTTCTATTAAGCAGACAAATGATGGAAATAGCCATGCAAAAGTACAAAAAGTCATAGACAACTGAAGTTGCCCATACATTCAACATATCGCTCAACGTAGATTAACAAAATGTCCAGACCCTCACTAAGGCCATTTTTAATGAGTCGCATTTTGTGTGCTTTCGTATACAGGTATGGAACTTTATATGACTCAATGAAGCTGCAATAAATTCATCCCTTAAGAAAATGCTTAATGCATTTTCTTCCTGCGCTGTTGCAAAAAAAACGAGACTACGTGGTGAGCTCTGATTTACCGCATGTTGAAGAACTTTCGCGTTACGACAGTATGAGAGGATCACTTTTAATACATTTTTTTATGATGGCATTAGTTTTCTGGGTCATCCTCGAATATAGACTAGAAGATTTGTCCTATTTATATCTTATTAGATTAAGCAGAAAAGATCCCTAATCTATCACATGTCCCTGGAACTAAACGCTGCGGCCTTTACAAAAGCACGCTGCGTCAGAAGCGAGAGAATTCAGGGATCAATTAACACGAGGTGAAAGGCACAACAGAGCCAATCGGTTTCTATAGCTGGCCCTGGCCATATAAAGTGATGCTGCATGATAAGAAGGGATTCCAAGTTCCAGTCCAGTCCAGAGCAGTTGGCTCCCACTGTTTTCACCCTATGGACAGCATTGAACGAGTCAAGCGTCCCGTCTAGCAGCGCGCTGCGATACCTGGTAAACGGCTTCCTTGACCTTGGGCACTTCAAACCTGACCCCCACATCTGGCACCTCCGGCACACGCTGGTGTTATACAAAACTATGGAGGACATGTGCAGTTTGTCATGCATACGTTCGAGTGGCTGCACGCCGTGTCTATATAGGCCGACCATGGCCTCCGAGATGGTGGGCATGCAGCGGGTTTTTCTTCAGCCGTTCAAATCGCATAGACAGAGCTTGTTTCCACAGGTGGGCGTGGCCCGCTCTTTTCACCACACCGCAGGGCTTTTTCGTATGGTCAAAAATGCTAGTGTGCTGTTGGCGAAGCTTGCAAGTGGCAAAAAAAAAATTGTTTTGTTATATAACTTCGCGCTCATTTGGGAATGTCAGGCCAAGGAGTACGAGAGGCAAAGTCGATGCTTGGGCGTGTATTTGTTTTTTTATTTATAACGTACTGCAGGCCATAAAAATGGCCGAAGCAGGAGTGGGAGGTGTTCCAATGATAATGATATCACCAATTAATAGATGTACAGGTGTAGATAAAGAACAAAAAGAAAGAAAACAACAACGACCGAAAAAATAAATCAGACAGGTGTACAATATATTCGCAAGTTACATAACTCGCACTTCAAAGTAATTTTTTAGAGATTTTAGTACATTTGTAGACTCAAAAACATGGTGCGGCAGTTCGTTCCAGTCTATTATTGTGCAAGGGAAAAAAGAGTACTTGAAGTTGCTAGTGCGCGCAAAGGCAGGTGCGAGTTTGTAAGAATGATATCCTTTAGTAGGACGTGAAGATAACAGAGTGAGGACGTGCGAAATGTCTATGATAGTGTTTTTCTTAGATAGTTGAAAAAGAAATTTAAATCTAGCTAGTTTACTTTGGGATTCTAAAGTTGGAATTTTGTTACTAATTATTAGTTCTGTCGGGGAGTCAAACTGGCGGAAGCAATTGTAAATAAACCGAACAACTAATCTTTGGACTTTCTCAAGATTATAATATTTTTTTCAGTGTGCAGATCCCAGACTTCAGACGCTTACTCTAAACAAGGCCGGACTATTGTGCTAAAAGCGAGGAGTTTAGTTTCAGGGGGAGAGCTTTTGAGGGTGTGCCTTAGTAACCCTAATTTTCTAAGGGCATAATTTCTACAGGCATATACACTGAAATGGGCTTTTTTTTTGCTGTAGATTTGTGCCACACATATAAGTGCAATGCCTCTGCAAGAGATCTGCATGTGCTGTAAACTTACTATACTTTGATGTTTGTGAGCTGCACAGTATAGAGGGCACAGGTGAAGAAGAAATAAAATGACAGCCTGATCCACAGGCGAAGTCAGAAGATATCGCATTCTACGCTCATGAGTTACACTCGATTATTTAAATGGTTTCTTTTTTAAAGGTGAAGCTCCTTAAGGCGTGGGTCAATCGTCCCCGATGTATGCAGTACGTAGCCACCTCATTCCAGGATTCCCCGCTAGGTGATAGTTGTCGGTGGAATGAACCAATGCAGATGTTATAAAACAGATGGCTTTTGTGTACTTTTATGATAAACGACCTAAAGAAAATGTTATACTTACGCTAGGGGGCGCTTTTATTTAAGAGGCAAACCTTTTTATGCCGTGGGTCGTGCATCCGCGATGTGTGTAACAGTAGTAGTAGTAGTAGTAGTAGTAGTAGTAGTAGTAGTAGTAGTAGTAGTAGTAGTAGTAGTAGTAGTAGTAGTAGTAGTAGTAGTAGTAAATAGCCACCTCTCGTTTAGTCCTAGGAATGTCCGCTGAATGGCGGTACTTCTATATAATGAATATGAGATAAGAAAATGCGAGATGGCGCTACTTTGAGTATTCACTAGATGGACAAATGGATGAACGCGCAGACGGACAGAAAGACAGACAGAAGCACGCATGCACAGACGGACGGATGGACGAATGCACAGACAGAGCATGGAAACTTGGGCAAATTGGTAGAATATAAATGAGTGTACGAACAGGGCAATTTAGAAGTAGTTGCAGCGTAACTACGAAAGGGGAAAAAAAAGCATAGTAAAGAGAGCTCTTCTCTATCCTTTTTTTGCTCTTTTCTATTCTTGTTTCTTTGCTTCCATAGTTACGCTGCAACTACTTCTAGGTTGCGTTGTTCGGACGAGCGGACGCATGGACGGTCACACGGACGAATGTGCGAACAGACGAAAGCAAGAATGGACAGACAGACAAAATTTGAAAGGACTGACGAACGCTTCGCCCCACTCATCATTCAGTCCGTGGATATGCTGCGATTTTTTCTTTCCTTTCACTAAATTAGCACTGCTCTTTTCTATCTTTGTTTCTTTGCTTCAGTAGTTACGCTGCAACTACTTCTAGGTTGCGTTGTCCGGACAAGCCGACGCATGGACGGTCACACAGACGAATGTGCGAACAGACAGAAGCAAGAATGGACGGACAGACGAAAGCCCGAAAGGACTGACGAACGCTTCACCCCACTCATCATTCAGTGCGTGGATATGCTGCGATTTTTTCTTTCCTTTCCCTAAATTAGCACTGCTTTTTATTATAACACCACATTAAGAATTCTCGCAGACATGCTAATTTAATCGTAGCGGCGCAGTGGTCACATAGTGAATAGTCACCCAGTTGCGCTATCATTGTGCGGTGTTCAGTGGATATGCTAGGCAATGTAAGAACCAATATCGAGATCTTTTGTTTGTTCAAGAATAACGCAGCACGCGTTCAGATTTTAGTGATACATAGTGCCAGAAAGACGCCATTCTGCTGTATGTGCGACCCTTTGATTCGGATGCAATCGAGAATACAGTAAACGAGCCCAATACTGATATTGCCATTGTGCTACCAAAACATAGCCAGAATACAGATGAATAAAAGGAAGATGATGACAACTCGGGCACTTTCTCTGCGAAAGGCATGGAGGGTAAACGTAGGTCGGCTAATCAAAACCTTAAGAGTGTATAGTTAGTGTACTCCTAGCAATTATGTGGTTATTTTTTTTACTTGTATGGCTCACCGAATATGTTTGATATCTTATGTAAGATAGTTCTGTGTGATGTTTCACCCTTATTTTTTCTTTTCCACACGTTTATTTAGTGTTGGCTATTTTCAGTATGCTTTTTTCAATAGATGTAATATCTGTCACTTCTCACGATACTTTCAGTATTTTTTTTTCAGTGAGGACTGCTGATGGTTGCAAACTTTTTTGTATTGGATCCATCACTAGCCACGTAGGTTATGGGACGAAATATTTGTAAATGTACTTTTAACTACTGTGCAATAAATTTTCTTTTTGATTTGATATTGCAGGAAAATTACTTATCACCTTATTTCAGTGATATGAACAGGGCCCTCATTTATTTAGAGCCTTACTGTGCTTCGGTTGACCACCTCATAAATATCTGTATGCGACAAAATACTAAAACAATGTGTCACAATAGAATGGTTATATAAATTAACGAAAATATATAATTAGCCGAGTTTTCTCTTATGCATGTCTCCAAAAAGGAGGAATGCTAGAATGCCTCTGTATTCCTCAATCGGGGTATTTAGCACTCAGATAAAACGAATCGTAACAAAAGAAAATAATACTGCCACAAACGAATTCATAGCTCCTTACAATCATATATATTATGAAAATGTGGCAGTTGCCACACATTTCTTCGTAAATTAGACCAAAATAAATGCAGTAACGAAAAATACTACCTTCAGAGTAGCAAGACAATTCTAGCGGTGATTCTTGCTCAAAAGCAAAAAAAAAAAAAAACTCCAGAATCCCAATTCTGTTCTGCTCTCTGCCGCAGTCTCCTTCACCGCTGGAGTCTGCACCCTCTCCCGGTAGCCAGGCGCACGAGGCGATACTCATTCGTTTTGCTAGCTTTACTAGGGAGCGATGTGATTGGGACGGCCAAAGAGAAACACGCTGTGCGCTAGCCACCTCGGAGGCCAAGGGCAGGCACGGGGAGCAGCATGTGACCTGGTGTGCAACCTATGGCAGCGCAGCAAACTGCACTTGTAGTAAATAAATATACAGTTGACAGTGTGGGCGACACGGCAACAAAAAGCATTAAGCAAAAAGGCAGAGACGCGGAGAAGATTTATTGGATGACAGCGATGAAAAAGAAGCCGGCTCTCAGTAATTACCGAAAGGGCGAGAACGTAATAAGGAGGGAGAG